AGGCTGGCTTTGAACTCACAATCCTCCTGCCTCAGCCTCTCTAGCCACTGGGATTACAGGTATGCACCACCAGGCCCGGCAAGAGCCAGTTTTCTAACTATTGGAGTCGGAGTCAGCAGACAGGCACGGGAAGGATGCTAGAATGATCTGTGTCTTTCAGGATTACAATTGAAGACCTCAGTATGAATCACATTTAGCCTAATAGAGATAGAGATGGTTACCTATGGGAATAGCTACAGATTGTGTATGTACACAGGGTGGGAAGCAGACAAATGTCTCCTTGCTGGGTCATCAAAGAGAAGATGAGAAGTAATGGATTCCCAGAAACAGTACACACATTTAGCACCCAGATTTTGGTATCTAATACTGTTCTCCAATAAGAAACCAATGATTCCAAGGGTAGGGCAGGAAATACATAAAATGATCCTAGATCCTCTTATAGTGTCAGAGATTCAGGAAGTGCTCACTAACAAAGGGACGTGCAGACCCAGAATACTTGGACCATAACCCAAAGTAAAAAATAAACATCCATGAGTCTATGCTGATGTAAATAAATGATTTAATAAATAGTAAAAGGTGAAGAAGATACAAGTATCCTGTACAGAATTCCAAAGAATCTGTGGACATAACTCCCTACTGCTTAGGTGTCAGCTGTACATAATGACTTTCCTTCAAAGACGACAGTATGGAAACGGAAAAAAGTGTAGTAACTTCACATTGAAGAAAGTCGACAGGTGCCCACCTCAACCCAGGCTGTCAAGGTCAATATCAATAGAAGTCAGTCATATTAAATGGTATACACTCATGAAATATGATAACAGGACTTTAGGGTTGGTTCCCAGAGCACATCATCCCAACCTAATCATGAGAAAAGCACGAGATATACTCGAATGGAGGCCCATAGCATAAAATACCTGAATGGTACTACTTAAAACTTTCAAGGTCATTAAAAACAATTTCAGATCTGGGGTTTTAGCTCAGTGGCAGAGCACATGCTTAGCATGTGTGAAGCCCTGGGTTTAGTCCCCAGCACATGAGCATGCACGCAAACACACACACACACACACACACACACACACACAAAAGCAAAGAAAAAAGAGAATAAAGAAACTATCTCAGACCAAGGACACATGACAGTTAGATGTAATATGGTACCTTAGATGGGCTCCTGGAATAGAAAAATGACAGTAGCAACAAACGAAGGAAATTTAAAAGTGTATACAGTTTTGGTTCATTAATTGTAACCAACATACCATATTCATGGAAGATCTTAATAATAGCAAACCTGGTTATAGGGCATATAAGAACTCTTTATACTCTCTTTGCAATTCTGGAAATCTAAAAATGTTATAAAATAAAAGGCTTATTTTTTAAGTGCAGTGGAAGTGCTTTACTCTCAAAAGCTCTCAACAAAATATGCTGACTGCTGAAATCCTTGGGCAAGTCTCCCCAAGGTACTGGTAGTTCGACCAATTGGCTGGGGCAAAAGTCCATTATAAAAGATATCCTCTGTCATACCCTTTTGCCTGACATCTTATAAGACCATCAGGAGCCCCTTGATTCTCCTATTAGGTCATTTTTAAAGACAGGAGACATGGAAGGGACTGTGGAAGTGGAACCTTCTGTTTCCAAGTTCATAGCCCTATCCCAAAGATGGTGAAACTTCCCCACTCTGAATGTCAATTCTTTGACATTAAAAACAAATGTCTAATAACTCATGAAGGAAAATGAGGGGAAAAAACTTCTGTCTTCTCCAATCCATTGGAGATTTGTTGTTTATCTATTGTACTTGTCTTATCAACAATGACAAATGACATGAAATTCTGCTATGCAGACCTATTGATCCCTCAATGCCAGGACCACTGAGCCATTATCTAACTTTGAGAGGTGCTGTTCAGGGCAAAACTTTTCCCACAATATGGTACAGTAAAGGTGGCAGCTGTTGGCTTGCAACACAGATAAAAAGGCTCAAAACTTCCCTTGGGAGGCTGAGGCAGAATTGCAAACCCAAAGCCAGTCTCAGCAACTTAGAGAAACCCTAAGCAACTTAGCCAGACACCATCTCAAACAAAAAATTTAAAAATGGGTTGGGTATGCGGCCATATAGTTAAGCACCCCTGGGTTCAATCCCTGATACAAAAACAAAACAACCAACTAAGTTCTCAACACATCTTTAAAAGGGAGTGACACAGAAATCAAACAATATCTCTTTGCATGACATCTCTTTTTGTTTCATTGCCATTTACAGAGTATAAGAAAGCAGAGAGGTGGATAGGTAGATAGATGATAGGTAGGTAGATGATAGAATTCTGTAAGGGAGCAGGGCACTCCCCTATTCTTGAAGACTTAAAATGCAAATAAGCATAACATGTTTTGAGTAATTTTGCAATAAAGGAACCTGTTCAACTTTGAAAACATGCAACATCTGTCATCTAACCATCTATCTATGCCTGTCTGCAAGTTGCTAGCTACTTATCAGGCCTCTGATAAAGCAATGAGTGGCAGATTCGTACAGAAGTATTGGATATCAACAGGTTCCCGACACAAAGCCAAGTGAAAACGAGATGGGGAAGAGCACAAGATAAGGCCATATAAATATAAATGTGAATTTTAAAATACTAGTAATAAATTGTGGTTATCAATGATTGAGATCAGGACTGAGTCCAAATGTTAATAGCATAACATCAAACGAACAAATATCCTTAGAAAGAGTAGTAAAGTAAGAGAAAGTCAAGGTAGTAGAACAGAAAAATAATGCATGAAACTTCTCAATAAAGAAAGAAACAAGGGAAATGTGAAGGGAGGTGATCAGAGAATTTATTTGATGGAATTTGAGGGATGACTGAATAATCCACCTAAATGGTCTCACAGACAAGTGCATATGGGCTTTGTTTGGGTAGATAACAGCCCCAATAGCCTAGACCTACCCGTAGAGGAAAAAAATTTGCTCTTTATCAAACGTCAATAGATCAATTTTTGTTTTTGTTGTTGTTGTTCCAGGGATTGAACTCAGGGGTGCTTAACCATTGAACCACATCCTCAGCCCTTTTTATGCTTTATTTTGAGACAGGGTCTCAATAAGTTGCTTAGGGCCTTGCTAAGTTGCTGAGGCTGGCTTTGAACTTGCAATCCTCCTGCCTCAACCTGCTGAGTTGCTTGGATTAGAAGCATGTGCCAGCACACTGGTTGTCAATAGATGAGTTTTGCCTTTTGGATTCCAAACTAACTACTTTGGCCTCAGTTCTCTTGTTTAATGTGCACTCATCACATCTAAATTCTCCCTATCTTACTTTATACTCTCACTGCAATTCTTTTAAGAAGATTCACCAAAAAAAAAAAAAAAAAAAAAATCCTACCCAGTCTCTCTTGAGTGTAAGTGCCTTGCTTTTTCTTGAGACTCTTGCACAGGGCAATATGCTGTGTGAATATATTCATTACACATTTGTTTCGTGTGTTAGAAGAGGAACTATTGACAGGAAAAGTCTGGAGTCACTGTGCCTAGAGAGAGGGAACTATCAATAAACCAAGTATTCCCACAGTAGGCATAAGATTTTACAATTAAATAAATTTGAAAGTCAGGTGAATAACTTCTTTTTATTATTCAATTATTCTCAATTTCACAGCTGCAAACAGGGTAGGAGGCAAACATTGAGCACTTTGCTTGGGTTTTCTTTATGGAGAGAAGGAAAAAAAATTCCCACCACCACACTTAAAAATAAGTTAAAACCGTACCATTTCCTTTGGAAAGAAAAGATTTTTATGAAGTGTGACAATTCTCTCATAGGAGCCAGAATGTTGCCACATTTCCTCCATGCATCAAGTTCACTGGATCTTTCTGAAAGGAACACGCAATGACCTTCCCTTACCACAGAGGCCTGTGGTTCTAGAGTCAAACACAATGGACTTGTTCTCCTAACTTTGGGCCTAAAAAAAAAAAAAAAACTATATAGACAAATTTACACAATGAAACATCCTCACCTTGGGGTCTCCACGCTAATTCAAAAGATACAGTCACTGTGCAAAACAGGTCTTCAAAGTTTGCTTTGGGTAATGCCTTTACGAGAAAACTGGGCTCGATTGTATAAAGCCCCATAGACATTTTGACTAAAAATGCTGTTTCCCAGTTTAATGGTTCACTTGACAGCAAACTACTATTTGTTTGAAAAAACTGAATAAAAACAAAACCAAAAATCAGTATTCATTTTCCACAAAGATTTGCCACCACTGAGGAGAATAAAATATACAGTTATCCCTCTGTTTCCTTAGGGAACTGGTTCCAGGACCCCCAAGATTATCAAAACCTGCAAATGCTCAGCTCTCTAATGTAAAATGGTATTGTATTTACACATATTCTAAGTCATCTCTTGATGACTTGTAATACCTAGTAAAATGCAAATGCTGTTTAAGTAGTTGTTATACTGTATTGTTTAGGAGAAAGTGGTATAGAAAAAAGTCTGTACATACTTAATACAGGCACAATTTCTTGAAATATTTTTGATCTATGGTTGAACACAATTGGAATTTGGAGCCTGTGGACACGGAAAGCCGACTCTAGGAGATTCCGAAGACAACTGAATGTGGAGGCATTCCAAAGTCATGCAAGTGCCTCACTAGAAACATTAAGAGCCGCCTAGTGTTTACCTGGGAGGGGGCTCCATTCAGCTGGGGATAAAAGCCATAATAGGAGCACTAATACAAAACAACTCCCCAAACCAACTGCGTTGCTTTATACTTTCTTATAAAAAAAATTAATTATATCCATCCCTCACCCTCACTCTGTTTCAAATTCACAATCCAGAATGTGACTTTTCAACATTCCTGGGAAAAGGATTTTGATCAGAAATTTCCGTTTTTAGTTGTTTTCAATTTCACAGCTGCAAACACTCTCATAATAAAGAATGTACAACTGAAATTTGTTATGAAATCATATTAATTGACGAAATAAGTCGATCTTACCTAAAATGTTCTCTCACAAGTACCAAAAAAAATCCACTTAGACATATAACCAAATGTTATTTAATATCTTAAAAAGTAACACAATCCAAAATGGATATTTCACACAACACTACATAAACAACATGAACACAATATTACCATATGGAGGGACTTTCAAATATAGACTTACAAAAATCCCTGTCCTTTTTTTCTTTTAAGTTATTATACTAAGCATGACAAGTAATCATCATTTACAATATGGTACACTGACACAATAAAAACCATGTTACAAATGTGCTGTTATAAATCAGTAACATTAGGGAAGACATTTCATGAACTGTAATTATTTCATATGAAATACTATACAATATAAACAGAACATCCATCTTGGATGACCTTTACAGCAACCAGAGACCAAGTAATTTAAATTTTTTTTTTCAGTGCAAACACATTTTATTCAAGGCAGTCTTGGCTGCAAAACTCCTTTCTAACATACAGTAAATCCCACTTGCACTTCTTAATTCATTTACCCTAATGCAATAGTCACATTCAGTCACTCAGAGAAAGATACCTGCAGAATTATGATCCCTTTAAACTTGACATTTAAATTTAATTCTCTTCCAGAAAGTAGTATCTCTGTCAACTGCTCTAAGGACTTTAATTTGTAGTTGTCAATACTTACATGAAGGTGACCCTAGGGCAGCTCTATTTCTAACCAGCATGTGTGCACAATACTGCACAGGATTCTGCCCTTCCAATGTGGAAACCGTGGCGGTGTCAGTGTCTAGGTCAGGGGATGGGAAGGAAGCAGGAAGGGAGACTCTCAAGGAAAGGAAGGGGAGGGGCTGCTGAGTACTGCAGGATTAACTTTCTGGAACTGTGGAGGACTGGTATTGGAGAACTCAGATCTCAGACTTGGTACCTTTTTGGTGAGAGTGAGAGAATGGGGATCCCAAGGTCAGCCTTTGTATGGGGAGATAGGCAGCTGCACATGGCCCAGCCCAGTTTGTAACCTTACATTCCAACCATGAGTTTCCACCTCTCCAGAGTCATTGCTGCCTACTTGGAGACACCCTATTCCCTTGTTGGCATTGTGTGGGTGTGTGTTTGTGTGTTCACATGCAGAGCCAACAAGTAGCAATTAAAGCCCTAGAACTGATCGTATATACAATCATAAGAAGAAGGTTCAGGCCCCCTTGAGCTTTGTGGAATTCTGAATCTTACAATTCATCAATTGTAAGTCACAGAACTGTAAAAACACAAGATTGTGTGTTAGGAGAGATCACCGGGGAATCTCTCTCTGGGATGCTGCTGCAAAAGATGCAGAGATTAACTCAATCAGAGAGGTGCCAATGCCTGTTTCAAACACACGAGGAAATTTAATAGTTTTTTTTTCATATACATATAATTTATGAAATGTCTCCGAAATAAAAACCTATGGGAAGATATTGGATGTAACCTTAATACCATAAAACCTTCTGTGAGAGGGCTGGGGTGACAGCTGATTCTTTATCTTTGTTGGCAAAGCTCAGACTGATAGTAATCTCTTTCCTGCTCATATTTTACTAACCCAAAGCAAAACAATATCTTCCATGGCTTTTGCATTTATTTTTCCTGTGTTCCAGCTTCCTGGAGCCCTAAATGTGTTCAGAAGAGTCTCTCACTAACAGGAAAGTACTGGATGGCTTTGGCAATGGGCAGGATGGTTCTGGGGGAAGGAGGGAGAAGCAATCATTTGCTTGGGTCTACTGTGGTCCATAGCACTGCTAGTTGGTTTGAGGACAGGCCTATGGTAATGGAGAAGATTCCTGTAAAGGGTTTTCTGTCTCCTAATTTGTGAAAACATTTAGCACTGGATCAGATCCTACAAAGTCGGGCTCAATATATTGTACTGAATTTCTATTGTGCCATGGAGCACTGTGAAGAGTACTTGATAAAGTTTTTAATTGAAATTTGTTTCAGCACCTTCCACTGCCTAGAGCAGTCTTGTTCCTGAAGATATTTTAGCACAGGAATTATAGAAATCCAATATGAAACTGTAAACAAGGGTGGACATCTGGATCTGCCTTGGACTGCAAGGGAATCTGGGTGGATCTGTTCAACTCCCACTTCATCATTCAATACCAGAAAGGTGTGCTGAGGTGCAAGATTCCAAACACCCTAAACTTTTTGAATGAAAATAGACAAAGGTGTAAGACTGTACTTTTTTTTTTTTTTTTTACTTTATTAGCACTCATCAGAAAAAGAGCATTGTATTTAACGATTTCTCATGATGGTCTATCAAACAGATAGAAAATAGGTCATTGATAGCTGCCACTGTGTTTCTAGGTAATCTAAATCATCCCAAGTATATTACAAATATGACCTGCCTTGTTAACTGTCTGTGAATCTAATGCTTTGGAAGCACTTTGAGATCCCCAAATGAACTGAGCAACATCATCATTGGTTGTTGGTTTTTAAATGAAGCTTCTAATACTACCCATGTTATAAATGGTGAGACTTTTCCAAAAATGATCTCTATTGTATCGAGAGAAACATGCCTATCATTTAAGTTAAAAATTTTATTTTCAAGTACACTTTGTGGTGATAAGTGGTTTATCCTGGGTAGAAGCTTACCAAATTGTGCCAAACTGAAAGGGGAATGATTTTTTCCGTTTCCACAAAACAGGTTTCTTCTCCTGATGTTGACTGCAATAAAATTTAAGTTTACATTTTAGAAATGCTGGTTGGGTTACGAAAAATAGAGATTTGGGAACAGCTGGTGTTCTGATCACTGTTACTGTGGATTCTTTCAATTTATCCTTCCTGAACTTGAGCTCCCCAACATCAGAGAAGTATTCATGTGTTATTTTTACCCAGCTAGGCCCTTTTTAGCTCTATTTGTTTTCACTATTAGATGCACCCCCTTTTCATATGCTCATTAAGGTCCCCTGAGATGTGCAAAACATATCAAATGGAGTATGAATTACTTAACAGAAGTCATGGAACTATATGGCACAGCTCCTTTAATAAAAGTGAAATTGGGGCTCAATAGGGTGGCATATGATAAAGGCAGAGAGGCCCAAAGTGCTTCAGAGTTGGCAGTTTCTTGTGTGACTTGTGTTACTGAAAACCTAGCCATCAAATCAGATTTACATAGGAGTAAATAGCTTGCCAAATTATGTTTACCCATTGGCTCTTGGCCAGAGAGAACTTTAAGCAGGAATGGAGAGTGGGAGAAAGACAAGAATTTTGAAACTTCCATTCCTTCGTGACCAAGTCAAGTGTGCTTTCATGGGAAAGAGAGGAGAAGACAGAATTACATCTGAAAGCCAAAAGGGTGCCGTGAAAGAAAACCATGGCAATGGGATAGTCATGAGTCCCCAGAGGCAATCACCGACACACACACAATGCATGGCCTCATGTTTAAGAAAGTTTTAAATGTTGCTTTTCTGAACAATACACTTTAACACGCTGCTGCCATTTCATCAAATTCATGGAGGTAGTTATATGTAAAAATAAAAATTACCATAAAGTAATATGCTGTATCATAATAATACATAAGTGTGCAAAATGCCGACAGATGGGTTGACCCTTTAAAGTTGAACGCCTCACAGAGATTCAACCAGATTCAGTTTTGTAAACCTTTCAGTTGATAAACTCTAAGACTAGATAAGCAGTTGTGTGACACAAAGCTATGGTATCACTGGAGGAAAAGAACACAAAGCTTGGAGAGGGCCCGAGGGCTCGGGCATGGAGAGCCTCACCATCTCGGTGAGACCCTCTTGGACATGCACAATTGTCGCATGTCACATATGTCATGCGCTTTCCACCACCACTTCCCCTCCATTCAAGAATCCAGATTTGATTCAGGAGAGTATTTCTACACGGAACATCTGCTTACATGATATATCACCTTTACAGTCCATCATTTCTACGCTAATGGCTACTGGTCTAAGGAAGTTTTCTTTTAAAAATCATGTACCCCGGAGCATCAGGCAAATAGCATACACATTTTCTTTGAACAATGTTTTCTGTAAACCTATTTCTTGTGAAAGATTGATAAGTTCATATTTTAAAGCTTCTCTTAAAGGTAATGATTTCTTTTCCTGCTCACACAGCATCTGATTATTTCAATGGCTGCTTTCAGAGGGTCAATCAGAGGCCGATGTACTGTTTTAATGGTTTTATTATTTATGAATTGAGGATGATGAAAATTTGAGAGCAGGTTTTTGGAAAAAATAAATTTAGACATAAAAATTTAGTAACTGTATGGTATGCAACTCCCCAAGGAAACAGATTATGTAGTCTACTAGATACATTATCATTTCTTCTGGACATATTTAAGCAGTGAGACAGACGGTGTGTTTCTGAGTATTCGAGGCATGCCTTGGAGAAAATAAGGCATGGGATTAAAAGTCTACTGGATTAAGCATTTCAATGGGGTGGCAATTTACTAGGAAATGTGCTTAAATTTCACTATAATAAGCATTAAAAGAGAATTATGCTAAACTTTGACCCACTGCAACTTTCAAATATTGATAAAGCATGAGTATTCATGTTTAAAAAATTAGTCTATGTATATGACTGTATTCTTTAAACTGATTGCTAGTGATTAAATTTAACATGGGAACAGAAGTGCTTCACAAATGTTATGCCAATTATTTAAATCTGAGGTGAAAAATTATATATATAATTATTTTTTTAAATGGTGTTTGGCTCCAAATAGCACATGCCACTAGACTAAATATAACTTTTTATCAGACCATTTACTTGGGTCAGACGAAACCCTTTTGCAAATAGTTTTCTATGATCTATAACATGTTCCATTGTTCTCAGAAAATAAAGCTTGGGAACTTTGAAATGTCTTTTTCCTATAAGATTGAAGCTTAATTATTTGTAATCCTTTGTTGCTGAGCCTTCTTTGTATTCAACATGACATTGTAAACCAAAGCAAAATGTTAACAAATCATTTTGAAGTAAGCTGGGCTAATGACTATACATCTGCCTAAAAACACCTCCTGAAATTGGTTACAAAGTATCTGTAAACATTACTCTGGCATAGTTCATTATGCATAATTGTTATTCTGATAAACTTTAGGGGAGTACAAATTATGATTATACCACACTAGCAGAATGAGCTCATTCTGTTGCTTATTACATGGGCATGTATATTTCTAATCAAAAATTACTTTAAAAGTTTTCTCTATAGATATCTTCCCAGGAATAAAAGGCCTGAAGTTCAACTCTCCCTAAATTTGCTCTTTCCTATAACCACTAAAAATCATCTCCCACAGCCTAATTTAGGCATTCTATTTAAAACTACATAAAATAGATTTATATCCTTCCATTAGAAAGAATAACATCCCCAGGCCATACTCTCCATTTGTATCACAAAGAACATTTTGCTTTTAAACAAACTAATTATTGTTATCTATTATAGTAAGATAGGATCATCATAAGTATCACAAGGAGGAAATTATCTTCCTTCAATATTTGATGAATACCTTTAAAAACGTCCACATCACCTTTTCCCTCACTTAGTGCTGTGCCCCAGCCAGAATGGGAATTCCCTTCCTTTATCCACTTCAGCATCAAAGGCCTATATTCCTGTTTGTGATCATGGAAGGTTTAAAATCAAGACAAGCATCTGTCACACTCAAAAACAAAATCCTGAAAACAGACACTCCCGGTATTTCCATCGCCACCCCCTCTGACATACTTCTATGGACTCCTGCAGAACAGTACCACGAAACTCACAGTGAAAAATGACAGGTGCATAAACGGTTTACACGCAAAGGGCCAGGGCGGGGGTCCCTTCTGGTCAGTTTGGCATTGATTTCCCTTAAGGTGGACCCTTGCATTCGACATTTTGTGGTGGCATGGGTTTTTGTTGGTTGGTTTGTTTGGGAAGTGTCAAAGATCAGTTCCGTGGCCCCACTGAACCACAGACTGGGAGCAACACACATCTGTGGCATTTTAAAAATGGAATTGGCAACTGCATGACATTGAAAACGCATATTCCACTTACAGTGTCTAGACTTTCCTATGTGTGCTCAGATACAATTAGTGAAGCCAAAGTATACATATCACCCCTACTGCTATTCAGTTGCTATAGAGCCATAAATGTGAAAAGCAATACTCTGAAATAAAGATTTTTGTTTTTTTTTTTTTTGCCCTAGCCTACTTAGCTGCACAGTTTAAGTAAACACGAAAACTGTGCTTGAGATGCTTGTCTTTCCAAAGATGTAAACATCAGTCCCAGTGTCGTAAACTTTGCTGTATTGAATGAGACAGAAGATCTGAGGCAGAAGGACTATCACACACTAGTCACAGAAGCTTGCAAGCAGTTGGAAGGTTTCTGTAATTTCTCAGCTTCGCTGGTCGGGGGGTCTGTACTCGCACGGAAGTTGAAGGCTGACCCAGCTACACCGTGGGCTGGACTCAGAGCGGGATTCTGACGACGGTTACTCTCAACAATGCTTGATGTGTTGGAAGCCAGGCTCTCCCGAGTACTAAAAGAGTAAAAAGGTTTGGTTTTGTTTGGCTTTGAACATAAATAGTTACATATTGAGCCCCAGAGGAAGAGCGAATGATGTAGTTAATGGATTTCCTGTGTCGGTTCACAATGTCATATCAATATACATCTCCACTGATGACTCGCATCCGCTCTTCCAGCCGGGGCTCCGGGAGCTTTAACAGACACGTTACCATCTGCAGCACGCAGAAGGAATCAAGGGGTTCTCAACCACGGAGTGCACTTGGAAATGGCTGCGCCTTCTTTTCACATTCAAGGAAACTACTTCAAAATCTGATGTGATAGAGAAGCTATCACATTAGTTTGAGAAGGGAATACTCATACCAGAGTGATGATTTCATTTCAGGCCAGAAATTCAGTGGGCACAACTACTCCTGAATAAACTCAATAATTTTACCCTAATGACCACATTTGCCTCCTTGATTAGGAGATTTTGACTTTGTTGGACTTCAAGCATGCTACTAGCTCATTTCCATGGTGATGGGGATAAAATTCTTTTTCAACACTGTATACCTCTGTGTCAAATTTTGACACTTTAGTTAAAATATATTTTCTGACAAAGGACCTTAGGGTTTTTTCCCCATTTATTTATCAAGTTTACATTCATTTCTGCTTTCCTTTGGTAGAAATATTTTCTTTTTTAGAGGATTCTTATAGAATAGAGGCTAAAAAGCTTTATTTCTCTCATTTTTTTCTAACAATTTTTTCTAAATTAGAAATCCTTGAACCTATTTCATTGCTTAAGCGATGTATAACATTTAACATTTCAAACATGTAGGGCAATAACAGCAATGAAGATGACTGAGTCTGATTGAGGAGAACTGAGTAAATCCTTCATGTTCAAGGTCCTCAGAGTGGCTGTAAGAACCTCCTTAGCTTGTAAGCCTGCTCCAGCTAGTCTACAGGTCCACATACTATGGTGGGGAGGTCTTTCCTTTCCTCTTCATCCCTAACATCACCTAAGTGGGGAGCTGTCTCTGCTATAAGATGCCTTTGACCACTACAACGTATTAATAGTGATAAATATAGGTAGTATTCCAGCTTCTGTAAAGAATATATTTAATAATGAGTACAGACTATGACATTCATACTGAGGTCTCAGGATATGATGATAAAAAGTTAACAGAAATGAACTGTTATCAATAAATTTAATTATTTTTTAGCGGGAGCTAATGGAATGCAACCTTAAAAATAAAAATTCCAGGAATAAGTCGGAGAAGTGAACTAAGTAGCTGTGTTGTTCATCCTTCTACTGGCACGTGTTCCCTTGGCCCTAGGCTGCTCTAGCACATGTCTCTTGCCATACATGGTCTCTTATTTTCATATTGTGTTGTTCAACCATTTTTTTGGCCTTAGCTATGGAAGTAGCAGGCTTTTCATGTCAAAATTTTTCATTTTTATTACAAGACCTCATAGTATAGATCAAGTTTCTGATCTCTTTATTTTTTCAACATTTTTAATTTCCAGTAGATTGGACTAAAACATTTTGGAAATGTGGCTGGACAGGACTGATGGGTCAGGACTAAAACCTTTACGTATAGGGAAAACTCATCTTGCTTGCTTGCATCTTAGTTGCTTAGTGAAATATTTTACTCAAAGATCTGAATGAACAGCCCACTAAAGATTCCCATGTCTCAGCAATGGGAAGGTATCAGCATGATAATGTTACTTAGCTACAACACTACTCATGTTGAAAACCCTGTAAATCAAAAATTCTCTTGCACATCCTCATGCATTAAAAAGGTAACCTAGTGACTTTATCAAGGCATATAGAAATGAAGTTTGTTATCTGGCTTCTAACCAAATGATATTAAATCTGAAAGGGGTAAAATTAGGAATTGTTCTGTAGGTTCTCTAACTGCATGAAATTTATGGAAAAATCTATTTGTTCCTATAGTGAAGCATAGATAGACATGTGACTAATATGTGAAGGCAGTCTCCTTATAACAAACTTTACTACAACAAAGCATTTAACTTTTGAATGTTATTTAAAAAATCCTACAGTCTGCACTCCAAGTTTTGAGATACTAGATTATGCAGAGATACTCATTTGGTTATTTCCTGAATACTTCTGTTAACACCTAAACAAACAAAAACTTTCAATATTATGTAGTAGTAGGGTTTTATATTAGAATCCACTAAACTACTCCTGATGTATCCTTAGCAATGACCTCTGCATGTGGAAGTCTAGGGGTCAAGAGGGCAACATGAAGAGTCTGAAACTGTAGTATGAAAAGCACCAGGCGGTAGAGTCTACGTCATAAGCAATAGGGGAACACAAAGATACAGGGGCATAAGACATGCCTTCAATAAGCAATGACTTTGAGCTTTTGCCACAGACTACAGACCTTTAATTATGCATATCTGGTACCCACTACATAAAATTTTTCAAGAGAAAAAAAAGAGGAGAATAGGAAAATAGGTAGAAAAGATTAGAGAAAATAAATTGGAGAATACATGAAAATTTGGTTTTGGATAAAAAATGATTTAGCAAAAACAATTTCTTAGAAAAGTCACTAAATACGCCAGTGATTTAAAGACTCGGTGTGATGGCTGTGTTTTCTCAAGGATCCTCAAGGGACAGGTAGAGGAGACCTGGGACTCTTGGTCTCCCACCCACTTTAACCAGCATGCCATCTGTATGGTCTGTTTGGACATTAGACTTACACATGTTAACTTGCAAAAAGTTCACATGACCATAATAATAATAACTATTATTATAATCATCAAGAAATAGCCCTTTTAAGAAATAACAAAGGCCTAATATGGGACAAACAGATTAATGATTCCCAGTTCTGACTTTGGGATGCTCTATCCCCAAAGTATCCAGAGAAATGGCAAAATGATCACAACAGAATTAATTTTAATTCTTAATAATTAAAATAAAGATATGAAGTCCATAATCATATCTGGGTACTTATTAAAAATTATAAGTACTGTAAGATCTTGGGAATCACAGCTGATGAGGAATGTCAGTCTCTTCAAAGTATTTCTGCATCTCAGAGTCACCAATCTGGAGTAGAATTTAGAAGGAGATTTAGGACCCAAGTTGCCCTTTTAAGGAGAAGAAAGAGTTAAGGAGGAAAAAAAGGAAGTTATCTAGACTCCTCAGTTTGCTTTTGTAACTCCTGAACCACTTCAGTGCTTTGGACATGACCATCAGGCATTATACTCTCAGTTATCAACTCTTCTGAATTAACAAAACCTACAAAAGGAAGTGACTGTGACGACAGTGCCTAAATGGGTTGTATCAATTCTGCAGGAAGAGAAGTAAAAGCACAGGTGCATGTCTTGATTTACTGGAGCACAGGCCCCCGACCTTTCTGTGAGAGGAACATGTTTCCATTTCTTTGTAGACAAGAGGGCAGAGGCAGGAAGGTGCATGAGTAAGTGGGCAGGCTGCACACAAAGTGGGATTGCAATGCAGCAAGATTCCAGGTCCTCTGGAAAGGTTTTGAGGTCTGTGATTAATATTTTCACTAGAGGGACCCCTACCTTAGCATCAGGTGACTCCCCATCCCTGTTCCCCATTGACTATTCACTCTTCAAAAAGTTATTATTTCTGAAGGACTTGTTAAAAAACAACAACAACAACAAAAAAACCCTTTTCTTTAGCATGATGGCAACAGGAATAGAAGAAATACTGGGAAGTGCTGGTCTTAGACCAGACTGATGCAAGTCTGAGGGAAGGAGCCAACCCACCAGTCCAGATTGGTGATCTCTACAGCTGCAGAAACATTTTTTTTTTCAATTCCTGAAAAAGAAGTCAGAAACAGGCTATTAACAACACAACACACACAACTCTTAGCCCTCATTCACAGAAGCGAGACTGTGAGATCAGAAACTTCTCAAGTTATCTGCATAAAGCCCCAGGCCCCAGTGGGGGTGTGTGTGCAGACCCCTCTCCCTACCGTGGGGAGTTGAATCCACTGTCCACGGTGATGCTGCTGCTATCCATGCTGTCGAGCCGGGCTGAATGGGTGGCTCTCTGGTTGCTGCTGCTGTCGGTTTCTTTTGGGGTGAGGAGGGTGAGGTTCTTCTCAAACTTCCTCTGCAAGTCTCTTTCCTTCTCCCTCTCAAGAAGCCACTGCATGGTGCCTACATCATCTCTATTTTTCTCCTCCTCAGCGTTTTTGTTTGCCCCTTCCTCAGAGTCGTCGTCATCGGAGACATTGTAATAGTCAAAAGAGGCTTCCTGGTTCCCTCCAGACTCCTGCTGACGCTGGGAAGCTGGCATGGCTTGTGCTGCCGAGGTCCCCAGGGACGGTTCCAGTTTCTCGCATCGGCCTGGCAATGTGTCAGCAGGGGTCTTCGGGTGCGATTTGAGGAGGGACAGGCTTGACTTGTGATAGCTGTTTACAGACAAGGTGCTGTGAAGAGGCTTGAACAGTGTGTCTTTGCTGAATATCTCTTTCCTCTTGTCCAGGCTGCTGGGTTCTGCACCGTGGTGCTGGACCAGGCGTCCGTTGGCAATGCCTTCAGCCACTCCACCCGAAGCAGCAGGGCCCCCCCCTGACCCTTTTGGTGACTCCTCCTTGTGGCTGACAGGTTCCCTGGAGGAATGCGGGGCCTGCCTATCAGAGGGAGACAGCTTTTTCACGCCTTCTGCCAGGGTCAGAGTGGCATGGTCCTCCTTATTCTTCCCCAGAGGCGACGGTGCGGTGAGTACCGTCTCACTAGAAGTGTTGCACTGGAAATAGTCATCAGCGGCTGTTTTGGTTGGACAGGTGCTGAGTTCCCCGTAGGGTGGCAAACTCTCGGGCGGTTTGCCTGGCTCCAAGAGGCTACAAGCACTGGAAGGCTCCTTGCTGCCACCAACTATTTCTGGAATACATACCTCTTTATAGCTTGCGGATGAAAGGAGAGCCCTTTGATGACCAACAGCCTGAGCAGGCCTTAAAGTACTGTCGTCGATGTAGGACTGGCTGGGGGTCTGGTCGTCCTGGCTACAGCCTTCGGCCAGGTCTTCGGGTGTGCCTAGAGAAGAAGCGCCCAGGGGGCCTTTGGAGTTATCCATGGATCTGGACCTCTCCTTGGCTTTGCTGGGTCTCTCATTCCTGGACCTTCGGTCCTGGGTATGGCTGTGGCTTCGGTGCACTTTGGAGTGCGAGCTTCCCCTGGAAGGTTCAGGAAAAGGCATCTCAGTTCTCCTTTTGGCCAATTCGCCGGACACATCCCATTCTGGTGTCATGGGGAAATGGGACTCAATCACGTTCGTGTTACTGTGCATGATGAAGTTGTCGCCTTTGTGCTCGATGATGAAGCAGCCCTCCCTGGGCGCCCTGGTCAGAGGGTCACAAAAGTCATACTCTCTTTCACCAGGAATGTCCAGATGCGAACCGTCGGAAGGGTCTCCTTTGGACACCCGCGTCTTGCTGTGTGACCGAGACTTCCCATGGGACTTTCGATGCGTCCTGCTCTTTTTACTTCTTCCGCTGTGGTGGGCAGAGGATCCTGCTTTACTCCTATGCGCTTTCTCTTCTTCAAGTTTCTTCATTAGTGCAGTGTGCCTCATGACATTTTCCACAGTCAAGTCCGGGTTTATCCGCCGAATGATCTCCATCTCCACTTCCCGAGGGATGGTAGTGGGCGTGTCTTCGTCGCGCAGCGGCCACTCCTCTGGAGGAAACTGGGCAGAAAAGTTGGCCAGCTGTTTGGTCTTGTCTTTCTTAAAACTTAGCCGGAATAACTTGAGCCCGAATTTTTTGGACTGCTTTTCACTATCTTTAGGTTTCGAGAGAGTTTCTGTCTTATAAGAAAAATTTACAGTACTTTTGCTCTTTTCAGTGGGTGGCACCTGGCACAGAGAAGGAGGGCAGTAAGGGTCTTTGCAGTCCTTGGCAGATTTCCTCTGCAGAGTGGATGCGTGCATGCTGTGCATGTCTTCTCGGCAGCAGTGGCAAGAGTCGCAGTGGTTTCTGGGCAATGTCCTTTCCCTGACACAGCCTGAGGCAGAGGGCGTTATGGTTCCAGGTTGTGGAGAGGTACACTGAGACCTGTCAGGTATCCTCTCGTCCAAATGGTACCATTTACTGTTAGTTCTTATGAGGGAAGGAGTTATGAAGTAAGTCTGTGGGGTCACAATGAAATAGCCATCCGGAGTGGGATAGATCTTCCTCTCCCGTACCAGGGTGTTCAACGTGTGCCGCAGGATTTCTTGGCTTGGAGTTGGAACACCTAAAACCAAAAAGCAAATGAACAACACTTGTGAGAGTGAAGCAGGCACGTGTTGCCGATTCCTGATTTTCAGAATCTTATTAGTAATAGCAAGCTTCCAAGTATCAGCTCAGGGCGTGTAAGTGGGAACAAGACGAGGCTGGCCATTAGGTTTAGTGTGCATCTTAGTCTCCTCTGATAATGTCTATTGCTATTACTTCCTATGGACTGAGAAAATATAAAAGCTCGAAGAGGGCTAGGGATGCACCAGGGACTGGACCCAGGGGCACTTAACCAATAAGCCACATCCCCAGCCCTTTCTTTCTTCTTTTTTTTTTTTTAAATTTTGTGACAGGGTCTCACTAAGTTGCTTAGGGCCTCACCAAACTGCTGAGGCTGGTTTTGAACATGCAATCCTCCTGCCTCAGCTTCCCAAGTCGCTGGAATTACAGGCATGTGCCACCTTGCCCAGCTAGGTTGCAACTGTCAATACAAATCTTCACTGAACTCAATCATGAAAGTGAGAGGAAAATGAAAAGTTTTACATAATGTGATATCAACTTACAGAAAAGTCATCTTCAGTAAAAGTAGCTAGGGAAGAAAGGTTAAAACAGCTATCTTGATATGAAAAACAAATATAACATATATAGAGGCTACACATTAGAACTACTTCATATACTCCTTTTTTAAAAAAAGATTAAGTTTACTTAACTTTATGAGTTATATAAAAGGACAATTAGACTTGATCCCTATTTCTGATATGATCTCTAATTTTGCAATCATCAACACCTTCAATATTGACTGGTGCACTGGTCAAAGTCAGGTGAGAACATTCTCCTTTTAGTCATAAGTCAGCAGGTGGAGGTATTTCTTCTAGTTTCTAACCAGTGGGCCCGAATAAACACACTTGTAAAAGCAAAGACTATCAGGTTGATCACTAAGTCCCAAACCCCCTGCTTTTCTAGAATAGAAACACTAGGAATAAAAATGATAGATGCTTCTTTGTATAATGACTAATAATGTTTTCAAGGGGTTTTGTGTGCATGTTTATGTCTTCTCCACCTTAAGAGGCAGAATCAAGAGTATAAATCCTTCAGAGAGTATAAATTCATCAGGCTATAGTCCATTTACTTTATTTCCTGGGTATTCTGTAGTCCTCATCACATAAAGGGTGATTACTTATAAAATTGATCTGAATGATATAATTTAGAAACAGGTCAGGTAGAATCATATGAATAACTGCCAATATTCAACCGTGTCTGACCCACAAAATGGCAATTTCACATTGTCAACCAAACATGGTTAAGGCGGTGTAATGTGGAGACTGAAAGCTTGGGTCCTGGGGCCAGACTCCTGGATGGAAAGCCCAGCTCTATCACTGATAGCTGGTGTTAAAGGCTGACTCACGCACCTCACCCCGCTTCCCTCACCCACTGTCATAGTTTGTGTCTGGAATGTCTCAGAGGCCCACGTGTTAAAGATTCAGTCTCCAGATTAGTGCTCTGGGAATGTCATAGAACCTTTAAGCTCTGGAGCCTAATGGGAAGTCTTTAGGTCATTGGAAGTGTGGCCTTGAAGAGGACTGTGGGACTTCTGCCTCCCCTCTCTCTTTCTGATCATGAGGCGAGCAGTTTTGCTCCATTAAGTGGTCCTGCCAAGTGCTGCCTCAGTACAGGGCTACAAGTAATGAGGTCAAACGATTATGGGCCGAAACCTCTAAAGCTGTGCGCCAAAGTGAGCCCCTTCCAAGTCAATTATCTCAGGTATTTGTTATAATAGGAAGTTGACTAACGCCACTACCCCAGATTCATGTTTTGAAATTCTAAGTGTGGTAACGCCTCCTAAGATGACCTTTGTTTTTGTAGATAGGATCTTTGCAACTGTATTCAAGTTCAAATAAGATCATCAGGATGGGCTGTAATAAATAACTGATGTCCTTCTGAAAAGGGGAAATGTAGACACAGAGACAATAATATAAAGGGAGAAAATAATATAAAGAGACACTGGTAGAAGTTGGCCATCCACAAGCCAAGGACAGATCCCTGAAACAGATTCTTTCCTCATAGACTTCAGAATGACCAACCAACCTGCTGACATCTTGATTTTGGAAATCTGGCCTTCAACTCTAGGATGATAAACTTTTGTTAAGCAGCCCTAGAAAATCAGTGCAGTTGGTAACATTAGTGCAGCTGGCAACATAACTTCTTAGAGTTTCTGTTTATTGTTATCAAAATGTGGATAATAATGGTACCTACATTCCTGGCGCTGTTAGTCTGAATTTGGTGCCTGTAGAACAGTGACTGACATATAGTGAATGCTCAACCAATACTACTTAGTATTGGTCTTAAACTTTGGGTCAGGATCCACGAAATCCCACATTACCTTCCAAGAATGTTGTGTAGCAACCTAGAACAGCTGGGTGACCTGAGAGGCTTAGGATCCTCCAATCCTTCCAAAACTATGAAGTAGGATATAAAAATATTAGAAATGGTCTGGAATTCTCAGAGTCTACAAGTATGATATAACACACACATACACACACATTTATGTCATCCTCCTTCCTCCTTAGAAGGCATCCTTAGTGACCAAGGTAAAAAAAGATAACACTGTTCATGGATAATGTACTGAGTGACATAATTATTTCATTTTTGAGTTGCATAGTTTCCTTTTAATCTAATGTTTTACTCTTTTTATTTATTTTTCATATGTAGGGCCTTGCCCATGTTAGGCAAGCACACTATTACTAAGCTGCATTCCCAGCCCTAATCTAATGCTTAACTTTTTGCGGGGTGAGGGAGGGATACCAGGGATCAAACTCAGGGGTACTAGAATCACTGAGCCACATCCCCAGCCCTATTTTGTATTTTATTAGAGTTGATTAGTGCTTCAATTTTGCTGAGGCTGGTTTTGAACTTGTGATCCTCCTGCCTCAGCCTTCCAAGCTATTGGGATAATGCATAACTTCTGACCAATGTACATTGGTTATTTTGTACAAATGATTTTAAGACTGATAAAATAAAAGTTGTTATTTAAAATTTTTGTGGTACTTTCTATACAAAATATAAATACATTTTAATTTTATTAGTGTATAACCTAAACCATACACATGCAATTTTTGAGCACCGTCATAAAATGAAAACAACAACAAAATGGTTACAGGTAACCATTTTTAAAAGAATTTCTACTCTCTATTAACTATTAGGGCCTTCTAACAGATAACTGAAAGAAGACTTCATTCACACAGAATGCTACTCCTGAGAGGAGAATACACAGTAGCCATACTGGAGTGTCAAGAATAGTGTAGTTATTGGCACCAGAAATTAAAAGAACAAACCCATGTTTAAAACTGACTGTATCTTCAATGGTCTTAGAACTCATGATTGACTAATTTACTATGACTGCTACTAAAGGAAAGCTGAGGTGTGATTCATAAGAACAGCCATTACTTTAAAACAAGAATTGAATTTTTATAGAATGGGCTGGTTAATGGTACAGGCCTTTTAAATAATGATCTTAGAAAACTCATGAAACTATAGAGAATCATGATTACAATGCAGTCATCTTTACTTACCGTTAAGAACAAGTTCTCTGGTTGTTCCAAAAGAAGAGATAAGAAAGAATTCCATAGAGCATTTGCACCTCTGCTTTTTGTTTTGGATTTTCGGTTCATAAATCAAATCATGTTTACTTGGAAAGAAAAAGAAACCATAAACATTCTTTTCTCTCCATCCATTTTCTATACTTCTACCTTGAATTTTCAAAGATTTAACTGAAAATTGCTGATACCTATTATTATTATTTTATTATTAAGCCCCTGTATCATGACGGACATTTTCAATTGTCATGAAATCTTGAGTTCTACCAGGAATCTGTAGGGCTCACTTGGAGAGTGGTGGCGGTGAGGAATGTCTGTGTATTCCATCACTTTCGGATTCTACTCCTAAAGTCCATCATGACTTCAAATTTTGAGGGCTTAAAGAACAAGGATAAGCTTTGCATACTAACAGAGCTGAAACCTGACTTATCTCCTTTCCACACCTTTACATCTTCCAAAGCAAAAACATATATTTAAAAATGAACATGAACCCCATAACCAGCCTGATAGTTCTAACTGCATTTTGTTCAAGGCCAGCTGTCCTCCCAGAAGGATTCAATTCTAACAATTTAAACAATCATTCATTCTGCATGAATGGATGAGAAGGTCTTTAAAAATATAAGAAGTAGGGTGTGTTGGTGCACACCTGTACTCCAGCTACCTGGGAAAATGAGATAGGAGGGTCACAAGTTTGAAGTTAGCCCCAGCAACTTAGCAAGACCCTGTCTCAAAATAAAAAATAAAAAGGGCTGGGGATGTTAATCAGTGGATAAGTTCCCCGGGGTTTAATCCCCCTTTCCCTGCGAAATGTGAGAAGCAAGTATATATCCTTTTTAAACCTTTTAAGAAATATTCTTGAATTCTGTAATGGAGACTGGTATATAAAAGTTGTTGAATTGGATTTCAAAAAATTCAACCTATATAAAAGGTGATAAGATTTTTTTCGGTATATCATACATTCTTTACTAGAAGAACTTTCACTGAAAACTCTTTATAATATGGATTCCACAACAGGAACAAAGGCCCCAATTCTAGACTATTCTTTATACTTATTAACCATGTGCTAAATATGAGAATTCAAATATTTTCATATTTAATTAAACTTCATCTTCAAATAATAAGGCATTAAAAATAAATACTCTTACCTTTAAAAACAAAAATATAAATATGATAGTAAGTACTGTCATTAAAAAACCATTTTTCAAGCAGAAAAAAAAACTAACAATGTTGAGTTTTTGAAAGTGTTTTGTTCTGATGTCACTTAAGTGACAAGCAAAAGAAAGGCCAAAAAAAAAAAAAAAAAAAAATCAAAGGAGGGAAAGAAAAGAATGGAGGAAGGAGGTAAGAAAGAATAAAAAGGCAGGCAGGATACAATATCTCATTTTTTAATGAAATACTAGTTTAAAATTTGGAACTATTGCTGAACAAAATTTTAAATAATTGTCATTATGTCCTAAGCCTGGGATTGGCAAACTTTTTCTGTAAAGAGCCAGATAGCACATATGTTAGGTTTTGGGAGCTATATGATCTGTGTTCCAACTACTCAACTCTGACAGTGCAGTATGGGGAGCCAAAGCCAATACACTGTTCAGCGGGCACGGCTGAGTTCCAGTTTAGCTTTATTTACAGATACAGGTGGTGGGCTGCACTAGGCTTGCAGGCCATAGTTTGTAAACCCCTGACCTAGACTCTAGTTTAAACGGTGTCCTTCCAAACTTCTGGAGCCGGTCAACAGTCACCAGTGTCACAGAGAAAGTTTAGTTAGCTCCTCTCAGTTCCTCTGAAGACCAAGGCCTTGGGATTTCTGTTCATCCACCAAAAAGGTTAGCAAAGCACTTATTCTTTTAAGTACAGATAATCTATGGATTTCTCTATGAGGTACTTCAACTTAGTGATACTGTTACCAGCTGCTTCTGGTGATGAGCATTTTACCATTACATGCTGACTCTGTGTTCTTTCTCTTTCTTTTCAGAAACGGGAAGTTGAGTAGCCAAATTCTGAAAAATCTATATGATCTCCCATGAAGCTATATAAAAACGCAAGGGATTCAAAAGCTGCTGGGTTGTTTGATAACAAGTGGCTACCCAGGAATCAGGCAGAAAGAAGGGCCATCCTTCACAAAAGCACAGAATCTGCCAACAGCATCTGTCCCCTCTGAGACACTGTCCCCTGGGATTTTGCTTATCTTACTACTGAAAGAAAAAGTTCTGTCTGCAAGTTTACGAAAAGAAACAATCAGATAGTGAAGAAAATTCAGAGAAAATAAAATATTACAACATTTAAGATAATTTATAGGTTGCAAGGGTGGGTTCATATTAGAGTTTTTAAACATTACATATAATATCGAAATATATTACTCAGATAATCGAAAATGAAGGAAGAATCACTAGGAGAGAAATTTAAAGTTTCTCTCAGGAAACCCAGTGTGGTCACGTAGATTACTATTTCGCTTAGAGTTGGCACTTCCAACCTTCCACCTGTGTGGGGTACACTTCCCCACACCTTTACTTTGGGAATGGTCAGGTTTGCTTTGGGGCATGCAATGCTAACAGAGTGAGATCAAAGGGTTGAGGAACTCTTGTACCAAGGACCTGTGTTTTTGTGCTTCTGCCATCCCTACCAGCAAAGTGAGCCTCTGCTTGCCTCTTTTCTAAAAAGGATGGGGTACAGGTAGAGCATGACCACTCTGTTAGGCCTCAGCTGAATTAGCTGACTACTGGGGAACCCACAGATAAAGGAGATAAATAAGCAGTCATTGCTATAGGCCCCTGATGCTCTGTATCATTTGTTATCCAGCATTCTCATAGCTTATATTTACCAAGGTCTCTTCTAAGCAGAATGAACAATCTATCATCTATCAAGCATTCTTTTTTTTTTTTTCTTAAGCCAGGCTCTTGCTAAGTTGCTGAGGCTGGTGGCTGGCTTTGAACTTGCAATCCTCCTGCCTCAGCCTCCTGAGTTGCTAGAATCACAGGTGTGCACCACCACATAGAGCACTCATTCATTTTTAATATAATTTCCATTTCAACCTAGGAACAGATTCTGGTAGCCCCAAAATGTATTTTACTTGACCCACCTGTTGCTGGGATATATACAATTTTTGTGTTTGTGTGTGTGTATGTATACTTGAACATACACACACACACAAACACACAAATTGTAGCATTTAAGGAAATTTAGGGATTTCACATAAAATGAATTTCCAGTTCTTCTGAAAAATTAAATTTGGCTACTCTGGCAGGATTCTGTGCCTTGCAGGTGGAGTGGTAACAATACACTGGAGCTGAGACGTGGGCTGTGTTGAGATGAGGCATCCATTCTTTAGCTTATTACCATTCCTGACATCTTCTCAACTTGGAAGTATCAATGTGGTTCCTATAGCCCCTGGGTTATTGCCTTCATCTTTATAATATTTAGGAGAAAAGCAAATATTTGTATTTTTCTTTTAAAACGAAATCTTAACTAACTTACCAAATAATACTTTCTTAAAGCTCACCAAGCCATGAAATGAACTTGTGAAATATGTTTACTCTGAATATTACTCTTTCTGTAGTTTAATTACTTTGGATGAAAATTTGGGGTTATTCTGAACTAGCCCTTTGAACACTCATGTTCACGGACTTAAGAAAGGTTGGATGGCAAAGATTGAATAGAATCCTGGTCATTTTTGCCGGTTCTTTATGGATTCTGATTTAATTTTCTTTTTGCTCAGTGCCAATTAAAGACAATCAGAGCTGAAGCAGTGAACTTATTTTTGATGTAACTCAGGTGCCTTGACTTTTAATGACAGAAGGAAGAAAGGCTTCTGGGTAGTTTTGGTGAAGTGCCCCCCCCCCCCGCCCCATTATAGCTAAACGTGACAAGAATGATCCCTTTGAAGTCCAACAGCCACCAGCACACATATCCATTTGGCAAGTGCTCTGTTTGTTTCTCATTACCTGGAAAACAAGTTGTCAGGTGTTCCATCAGTGCTTCTTGGGTGACAGGTTTTCTTGCCGAGTTCATTGCCGATATCGCCAAGCAGAGGATTTCCCCGAGTGGAATAAACTGAGATTGACTGATGGGAGACATACTGATTGGTGATACATCACCTGCAGAAAGACAATTTTCAAGTGAGCGGTTCATTAAAACACCCAGTCATTTGTCACACACACACCTTCACACATACATGCCTGCCACCACTACCCTCTATCCCTTGGATTATGAATTATGAATACTATCAGCTCTGAACGCTGCAACTGGTTATGGCCACAGCCAATTCCACTCGGATGGTGGGACTTCCACACATGGTGGAAGCTCCTGAAGTATCAACAAATAAAACTTTCCTTTTAAGAACCTGAGATCTCATTTGAATAGACAGAGTCCTGAAAGTCTTGCAGCAGTGAGACTTTGAAGAATGATTTATGTTTTTATTAACTTGGAGCTGATTTATTTAATAACTGCCATTCCCGTCTTCCCAAATGCATCCGTGGTAACTTGATGATTCATTCATTCAAATGCTGAGTGCCTTTATGGGTCACACATCTGTTGGGGCCTGGGAGCTGCAGATAGAAAGTGAGTAGGCTCCCTCCCCACAAACATCCCTGTCTGTGGTTTCCATTTAAGTGGAGGAGACAGACAGTAGGTCAAAGGTCACAATTCTAATTGACAGGGGCACAACAGAAGACTACTCAGAGCAGAGAGAGAAAGGTGGGAAGAGAAAGGCTGGGAGTGAGATGAGGCTCAAAGGTAGGAAGTTGTGCCAGGGATGTAGCTCAGTGGTAGAACACTTGCCTAGCATGTACAAGGCCCTGGGTTCAACCCCCAGCATTTCCAAAACAAAACAAAACACACACACACACACACAAATAAAAACAAAACAGGAAGTTGTAAAGTTATATCTAAGTATGTGCAATATGAATCCAGTACTAAGGAGTAGGAGGGTTCCTGGAGCTGGGAGGTGGGGAGGCCTTGGTGCTGGTAGGAGCTATAAGCAGGTGTTTTCTGGGGAGGAGCAGACAAGGCAGACAGGGACATGAATAAAACTAAGAGGGGAGAGCGGAGCACTGGGGGCCTTCCTCCTATGAGGAATGGTGAGCCATGGGAGGAACTTAAGGAATGACAAAAGCAGATGGAACAGCAGAAACATGTGTGGGCGCCATATGGATGACGCCCGGAGAGAGCAAGACAGAGCAGATAATAATGCACTAGGAGACTGTGGCCTCCTGCATGCATATGACCCCCAAAAGAAGTAATGAGAGCAGGAGACGCTGAAGACCCTGTATCAAAGAGGCCACGGATGGTGACTCTTAAAAGAGGTGTCGACCTGCAATGCAAATATCCATCTTCATTTAAAAAATTTTTACACCATAGTGTGGTGATTGTCAAGGAATGCTCCAGGGATCCCCAGAATTTTCTTTGAGATTTCAGGGGGCAGGAGTAACCCCAGCAAAGGGGGATGTTAGGGGAGCAGGGGAGTCTGCTCCTGACACCTGAGTGCCTCCTGGTTTATTCTTTGAGGTTCTCTAAGATGTCAATTGAAAAGAAGTCCTGTAGAAGGAAGGTGGCAGCTGAGAGGGCTGAGGCAGGAGAATCATGAGTTCAAAACCAGCCTCAGCAGAAATGAGGTGCTAAGCAACTCAGTGAGACCCTGTCTCTAAATAAAATACAAAATAGGGCTGGGGATGTGGCTCAGTGGTCGAGTGCTCCTGACAAGTATCCCTGAGTGTTCAATCGAAGGAAGGAAGGAAGGAAGGAAGGAAGGAAGGAAGGAAGGAGCAGCATACATATCTATGAGTTCCTATCTTATCTCCCACATGTATTTACATGAGCTCTCCCTTTTTGCTTTTTAAGCATGATTTCTCATGTCACAAGCTACTGTGGCTGGCCAGAACTGAAAGCAGGGTGAGATTGTGGGTGCTCTAGGATGGACCAGATCACCGTCTTCACTGTCACTTAAAGCTGTGCATAACCACAACCCCTTGCTTGGAGGACTGTACAGTGGTCCTCTGGGAGAACCAGAACCTGCTTGGATGGACTAGAAGGAAAATGGTTTGATGGACAAAACCAGGTGACAGAGTTGGAGATCACCATTTGTGGGGATATTCCAGCACGTGCATCAGACAGGGCAGTAGGACAGTGTTCAAGTTTGAGGTCTGAACCCCTGCCAAGCCCAGCTCTTTCCCCTTCCCTGTGTCACAGGAGGCTCCACCAGCTCTGTTGTGGCTCCACTCTCTGCAAGACGGATATGAGAAGAGGAATAGTACACTGTTTCAATGGCCAAAGGAAGAGAGAAATGCCCAAATTCAGAAAAGGAGAAGGTCCACGAAGATAAAAATCAGCAGAAACCAGAACTGATCTAACTTAGAACTCACAGACTTCTGAGACGTAAGTGTGACAAAGAGAAGCCCTCTGCAAAAGTCCTACAGTATTTGGTGGGAGAACAGCAGATGGAAACTATCACATAGAATTTGGGGCTGTTACTGAGGATGTGAGCTTTGCTCAATGACTGGGAAAGCTCAATTCACACTGAAGATTCAAAAAATGACATTATCATGTGGGTCAGGCCCATCTGAGTGGGCAGGTTTGCCACTGCCCAGAACCATGTATTTCAACCTTTTAAAAGAATTGGTGTGGCCTGGTGTGGTGGTGCACACCTGTAATCCCAGTGGCTCATGAGGCTGAGATAGGAGGATCTTGAGACCAAAGTCATCCTTAGCAAAGGCGAGGACCTAGAAAATAATTTCTTCTGATGGAGTATAAAAACAAGATGACATGGAGATATTTAAGCATCCAAATTCCATCTTTCTTCTATACCCTGTGATTGAAATAAGCAGGTTGAAAGATTTCCTGATTGTGTATGGGTTGCAAGAGGAAATTTCTCTTTAAAAAAGGAAATGATGATTAGCAAAATTAACACGTTACATCATGCAAGTCCTTGTGTTTTTGGCTGAAACTATTTGCTTAGTTTCAGTGCATCTTCTTGGTTAATTTCTGTTCATGTACAGCAGCCAACCATAAGAAGCAGCATGCTTTCAGTGTGTCAGAATCGCATGTGCTCTGGAAAAGCTCAGCTTCGTTATAATTATGAATACATGCAATAACTTTGAACTCAGGGTATAGAACGAAAATGGAATTTGGATGCTTAAATACCTCCATGTCATCTTGTTTTTATACTCCATCATGAGGACTTATTTTCTACCTCCTTCCCATCCCCCTCCTCCATCAGCAATCCTATCTCCTCTACATCCAAATCTTCCTGGACCTGTTCCCTCTATTCCATCTCCAGGGTTAACAACCCCCGACCCTGTCCACTGGCACCTCAACTCCAAACTGGCTGGTGACAATGTCTCAGTGATGCCCAGCCTTCCTTCCTGCTCCTGACACAGAGCAGCCAGGGTCCTCTTGGGAAAACATAAAACAGGCCACTCTCCTGCATATAACCTTCCAGTGACTGCCTACTGCCTGTGGAGGGAAATCGGAACTCCTCACTAGACCTGCAAGGGTCTGCAGGGTCTGCATCTGTTCATCTGGGACACCTGTCTGCACACCATCTCCCTTCCCATCCCATGCGCACAACCTCCTCTCTTCTTTGAACATACCAGGCTTTTTCTGAACTCAGGCAAAGCCTTTTTAATTTTTGTGCTCTTAGCCTGGGATGTTCCTCAGACAGACCTTGTCAGGATTGGCTCCTTCTCCTTCTTTAGGTCTCAGGTGAAACATCATGTCCTCATGATGTTTCTGTAGTACGGGGGATTGAACCCAGGACCTTGCACATGCTAGGCGAGTACTCCATCATGCAACCATGTCTGCAGTTCTGGGACGGAGCCCTTTCTTGACCACTATCTAAGTTTGCCACTGCCCAGAACCATGTATTTCAACCTTTTAAAAGAAGTGGTGTGGCCTGGTGTGGTGGTGCACTGTGTCCATTCTCTGAATGTGTGTGTGTATGCATGTGTTTACTATTTTTCCATCTGTCTCTCCCACTAGCATGTAAGCTCCATGACAAGGATATGATCGCCACATTTCCTGGTTCTGACAATAAAGCAGTACTGACACTGGACACCAAATATACTTAACCAGGCAATTTTTAAGACTCTCCCAGATTCATTTCATCAATAGTTTCCCAAACACAGTAGTTACCACAGAAAAAAAAAAGTTGAGTAAGATTTAGAACATGTATTAAAAATCCATATTAAAGAAATCATAGGTATCTCTCGACATGTAACACATGCAAGTTTATCAAGATTTTCTGTGGATCTTATACAAACCTATTTAATGAACCAACTAGTCATCTTAAATGTGCTAATAGAAAATTCTTCCAATAACTAGATCACTTTTATTTCTTCAAATAAGAGACTGTAAATACTGCTACAATAACTTTGGTCAGCATAATCTAGGAAATTACCAATTTACAGCATTTTGCATGAATTATTAATTATAACTTACTGTCAATAATTTTTAGAATGGATTTTTCTAATGTTAGGATGAGTTCTGAACACACTCATAAAGCTAACTACAAGCTCATAGGTACTTTGTAGGCTAATGAAGTCTTTCTAAACTGTTCTCATTCTGTGCTACTGCACTAAAAAAATTGGAGCAAATATGTTTTATTTTAGCTTTATTTTCTTACAAACATCCATGTAAGTACAGTCCTCGGGGGACATTTGCTAAATCTAGGCTAATTCAGATAACACCAAACACAGTGCTTTGTACTAAGTAAGCATTCAATAAACTTCTAAGTGGACTTAAGAGTGCAGAAAGGACATGAAAATACAACACTAGGAAGTGAACTTACATTTTTTTGGTACTGGGGATTGAACCCAGGAGTGCTTAACCACTGAGCTATGCTCCCATCCCCTTTTATATGTATTTATTTGTTTGTTTATTTTTGATACCAGGGATTGAACTCAGGGTCAGTTAGCACTGAGCCACATGCCCAGCAACACTGAGTTGCTTAGGGCCTCACTAAGTTGCTGAAGCCGGCTTTGAACTCGAGATCCTCCTGCCTCAGCCTCCTGAGCCACTGGAATTACAGGCACGCGCCACTCTGCCTGGCTATGTTTTTATTTAGAGACAGGATCCACTCGGTTGCTTAGGGACTTGCTAAACT